AACTGCAGCAACACACCTAAAGCCAATAATAACCCAACAAAAAGCTGCAGTAAGAATAATCACTAAATCCATCCCTGCAACACCCCCCCCCCCACTCTTCATAGATCTAAACTTACTCCCTGTTCAGTACATCCACACTTACTACTGTGCAATCTACATCTACAGGACCTTAAACTCCAATATCAACCTTGACCTAAAACGCTTTCTTGATAGTTGTGACAGAACCCACAGGCATAACACCAGACACAAACATCTCTACGACATTCCCCGTGTCCGACTAAACCTTTACAAAAATTCAATGTATGTCAAAGGCCCTAAAATCTGGAATACCCTACCTGAGAACTCTAGAACTGCAGACACATTCATCACCTTCAAAACTACCATTAGAAAACATCTTATCTCCCTGATACACCCCGTCAACTAACTACACGAATACCACCTGGTGGTTCACACTTACACTCACTCACCCATTTGACCATAAACAAATATTTATTTATTTATTTATTTATTTATTTATTTATTTATTAACAATTTGAGCACACATACAGAGGTACAAAAAAAATACAGATAAGAGCAGCATGCCAAAGCCACTTATACTATGCATAGCATTACGGGCTGGCTTAAAATTAACTTAAGATTAACTAAGCAATGATGAAATCAGTGATAAAACATTAATGTAAACAGATTACTATAAAGCACAAGTGAGTATTACAAAGACAGGTCATATGGTTGCATGCATTGTTGTACATTCAGTCGTATGAAGTATTCTGTTAGGTAGTGTATTTAAAAAATAATAAAGTTAGATTCGGTTTTAGGTTTAACATTTATGTGATATAATTGTGAGAAACATTTAAGATATACAATTTATAAGGTTCAGTTATTCAGTATTTATTTGGTTTTGGGTGAGTAAGTGATCTTTGAGAAGAGACTTGAATTTATAAACAGGTAGTGTTTCTTTTATATTTACAGGTAATGAATTCCAGATTTTAGGGCCTTTTATGTGCATTGAGTTTTTGCATAGTGTGAGATGGACATGAGGAACATCAAAGAGTGATCTGTGCCTTGTGTTATAGTCATGTGTTCTGTTGAGGTTGGCAAGGAGATGTTTGAGGGGAGGGTTAATATCAGAGTTAAGTGTTCTATGTATGTAATAGGTGCAGTAATAAGTATGGATGTTTTGTATGGTGAGTAGGTTTAGTGTATTGAATATTGGTGGAGTGTGCTGCCTGTAGTGAGAATTTGTTATCATTCTAACTGCAGCCTTTTGTTGGGTAATTAGTGGTCTGAGATGGTTAATTGTTGTTGAGCCCCATGCACAAATTCCATAGGTGAGATAGGGGTAAATAAGAGAGTGATATAGGGCCAGGAGGGCTGACTGTGGAACATAGTACCGTATCTTCGATAGTATGCCTACAGTCTTGGAAATTTTCTTAGAAATTTGTTGTATATGTGTATGAAATTTGAGTCTATTATCAAGGTGGATTCCTAAGAATTTTCCCTCTGTTAGCTTTGTGATAGGTGATCCGTTTATCATTATGTTAAGAGGGACATCTGTAGCTCTGTTACCAAACTGAATGAAGTAGGTTTTGTCAATGTTTAGTGTAAGTTTGTTAGTCCTCATCCAGGTAGATATTTTCTGTAATTCGGTATTTACAGTATTGGCTAGCGTGACTGGGCTCGGGTGAGAGAAGACGTATGTAGTGTCATCTGCAAATAGTGTGGGTTTGAGTAATTGCGAAGCATTTGGAAGGTCATTTATGTATAGGAGAAAGAGAAGAGGGCCAAGGACACTTCCTGTGGGACACCAACTGTAATTGGTTGCGCAGAAGAGTTTGCCCCATTTGCGTACACATATTGGCTTCTGTTGCTGAGGTATGACTTGAGGTAGTTGAGGGAGTGCCCTCTTATACCATAGTGTGACAATTTTACGTGGAGCAAGTCATGGTCAACTGTATCAAAAGCTTTACGTAAGTCAATGAAGATCCCCAGTGGGACTTCTTTTTTCTCTATTGCAGTGTATATATGTTCTAGCATGTGTATAATAGCATCATTAGTATTTTTATTAGGCCTGAATCCAAATTGGCAGGGGTTGAGTATGTTTTGGGAGATAAGGTAGGAGTAGATTCGTTTATGAATTAATTTTTCGAAGATTTTTGAGAGAGGGTGTAAGTTAGATATTGGCCTATAGTTATTCAACTCTGTTTGGTCTCCTCCTTTGTGGATCGGGGTGGACCCTTGCTATTTTGAGTACTGTAGGGAAGGTGGAGGATTCAATGGATTTGTTAAAGAGTGTTGCAATGATTGGTGATAGTACTTGTGACACTTTTTTGTATATAAAGGGTGGTAAGGTATTTAAATCTCCTGCCTTGTTTTTTAGTGCGTTGATAATAAGGGGACTTCGTATGGGTTAGTCGGAGCTAGGAACAGTGTGTTCGGGTAGTTGCCGGTGAGGTAGTCATTTGGTGGGGTATCTGAGCTTGGGATTTTATTGGCAAGGTTTTGTCCTATAGTGGAGAAGAAATCATTGAGTCTGTTTGCTGTTTCTGTTGGTGGGAGTTGGGGTTCATCTGATTTTGCTAATTTTATTTCGCTATTTCGTGATATCTTTTTTGTTCCCAGAATTTCTGATAGGGTTTTCCAGGTCTTTTTTATATCACCTCGTAAGTTGGATAATCTGTTCTCATAATACAATTTTTTTGCCCTTCTTATCAGGCTGGTTAGGATTGACGAGTAACGTTTTGTTTGGTCTCTGGTTATGTGACCCATTCTGTACTGTTTTTCATATTGGTGTTTTGTATTTATGGATTTGAGAATGCTGGGTGTTAGCCAGGGACTGTTCAGTCTCTTAGCTGTCATCTGTTTAGTTTTTTTAGGGCAGTGCTTGTTATAGAGGTATTGGGTCTTTTTTAGAAAATTATTAATACATTCGTCAATATCTGTATAGATTTCTAGCTCAGTGTGCCAATCAATGTTTGCTACTGCTGTTGTGAAGTTATTAATGGCTGCCTCATTGTGAAGTCTGAAGGTGACTTTAGTAGTGTCTTGGGGTAGTTTACCAAGAGTTGTTATGAGGAAAGTAGGGTAGTGGTCTGTGGTATTATCTGTAATTATGCCTGATTTTAAAGGGGATATGGTGTTGGTCCAGATGTGATCAAGTAGGGAAACACTAGTCTCTGTAACTCTTGTAGGTTTTGTTACTGTTGGTAGTAACATACAGTTACTCATTGTGTTTGTGAATTCAGTAACGTGTGGGTCCTGGTCTTGCAGGAGATTTATATTGAAGTCACCTGAGAGTAGTAAGTGATCTTTGTTCATGCGTGCATCAGTTATCATACTTCCTAGGTTTTGACTAAATTGGCTAATGTTTGACTGTGGAACTCTGTAGATGTTTATCAATGTGAGAGGTTTTTGTAGGTATTTGGATTTGAATTTAGCTATTATATATTCCCCATGTTCATCCCTTGTGCAAGTATTAGTGATACATTCTAGTTGGTCTGAGTAGTATATGGCTGTGCCACCCCCTTGTTGGTCTGGCCTACAGTTGTGTATGGCTGTGTAACCAGGAATGGCATAGACATCTGTAGTATCAGGCTTTAGCCAGGTTTCAGTTGGTGTAATGATGGACATATTGGCATGTAAGGAATTTCGTAATGCTATGAGGTCATCGTAATGCTTGCTTAAAGATCTGATATTGTAGTTAAAGATAGTTATGTTGTTGTTGGCACTGAGAAGTGCCTTTGATTGTTCTGCAGTGTAGTAATTACAGTAACTGTTTGATTCATTTAAGTCATTAAATAAGAGGTTAGTATCAGGATCAATGCTTGTAATCATAAGATTTGTAGTGAATCTATAGTTAGAATTAAGTATAAAACAAAGTAAATAGTCTTAAGCTAAAAAATAGCACCTGAATTATTTAACAAATGTAAAATAATGAGCTAAGGTAGTTTTTTTTTTTTTTTTTTTTTAAGCTAAAATAAAGGAGACAATATAAAAGGGACTAATACAAATAAAGTGATGATCAAATAATGGAGCTTGGGAATATGATAGTAGGTAGTACTATAAAGGTAATTTTTTAAAGTTAGAATTATAGCATAAAATTATAATATAAAAGGGACTAATATAAGTTGTGGTGAACAATAAAGTGGTAATCAAATAAATGAGCTTTGGAATATAATGGCAAAATTGTGAACTTATTCTACTTTAGCACCTGAGAATAGCACCTTGATTATTTTAACAATTGTGAATATATAAACTAGGGTAGTTATATAAAGCTAAAATAAAGGAGAAAATATATAAGGGACTAAAATTAAGTAATAGTAAACAAAGTTAAATGGACAGATGGTAGGAATTATAATATAAACTTATAATATAAAAATACAATTTGAAATGGTACTTGCAATTGCACTAGAGTCTGGTATAGGTTGTTGACAAGATCAAGATTATAACTAGATTTAAATTGACAAAATAAAATTCTCAATCTTAAAATAATGAATCCTGTGATACTCCAATACTGAAACTATGTACTGTGCCAAAACAAAAGCATTCACATTGCTAAACTCACAAACTAGTATTTAGTCACTTAGCCATAATACCAACTTACCTCATAATTTGTAATATTTTAAAATAAAGAATTAAACTAAGTCCGCCCGAAATGCCTAGCCATGCTAGGTGTTCTAGTGGTACACTCTGTAATCATTATTTTACTACATGTAAACCACACAATAACCAAATTCTGTAAACTCAACATTGTAATCCTTATAGAGAATAAACTTTGAATTGAATTGAATTGAAGTACAGAAAACTGGAGTTATTTATGCAATACGGGGATATCTTTCTCAAACTGAAATATATCTAGTTAATTAATTCTAGAACCGGCTACCTAACGTACCAGGGTGCTTAGAGTGCCTAACTTGACATTAAAAAGCAAAGGGAAATCAAGCAAGAGATCGGTGAGGCGTCTTTTAAGTGATTCTTCAAGAAACTGTAAATTTATTCTGCAGATGTGGTGTATGATATTGTTGACGGTGACGGTTATGGTCACTGTAATCTTGTGGACTCAGCGTCTCCAGAACAAATTCATCAACCCGTGAGTTACCTTTTCTTAATTTCATTATTAAATAATAAATATGAAATTACATCAACATTACACAAGTTATGATTGTCATTGTATCATTTGCACTATAACAAAATTGCAGTTTTTTATATAAGTATTTATGATTACAAATAAATATTATTTCCCACAAGTATTTCCCACAAGTTAGTATGGATGTGACGATATGACCGTCTGAGTGTTATGCGGGACTTGCGTATCCAATATTGATGCTGTGTATTACTCATTAGTTGGTTTATTAGGTTTAAACCCAATCTTTTGCACAAAGGTTCATTAAGGCTACATTCCACCTGTACATCAGCCAGGGATGTTTAAATTCCTAATTTATGGAGTAAAATAACTCCAAGTATATACATGCCCGTCTAAGTGTACGTGCTCTCTTACTCTCAATGCACGCATGGATGATGACTCGCGAAATCGTAATGACACGATTGCAAATAACCACGGTACGGGTGGGGCTGGAACTCGCGGCTAGTGAGTTGTAAAACTCCAGACCAGCGCGTTAGCCACTGACGGCTTTGAGGGGACTTGAGCTAGAGTTCGTCATGGTCACGCTAGCTAGAGATTAATCTGTAAAACTTGCATAGCGGTCGCAGTGGTGCCCATGCTAACCTTCGTATGGTGTATAAATATATCTAGTTGGATGAATCTTATTGTAACCAGCTGGCCCAGTGGCTGACGCGGCGGTCTGGAGTTTTACGACTCGCTAGCCGCGAGTTCAATCCCCACCCGTACCGTGGTTTATCATGAGTGATGTACTCATCAGAGCATATATAAGTACTCCTGGGTAACCATAACGTGACATATAGCAATGGGTCATTTTCAGAGACATACAAGTTTTATGTTTAGTCTCAGTTTTCTTCTTAAACAGTAATTTCCTTATTTAAAGGAAAAATTTATTAAAAAGTGCATTTCAGAGATGCTCTTGTAAAAGATGGAGAGGAGGAACAAGAGGAAACGAGAAGGAGGTTGAGTGAAGATGAGAGGCAGCAGCCCCTGCCTACCTTGTGGACCTCTTGCCTCTGGTCGTTTTCTGCCCTCCTGGCTCTGTGTTAGTAATATTTATCTATGTTTCATTATTAAATACTATCAAAAAATAAAATATCTGGTGGTGGTAAATCAATTTGTGGATAAAAGTTTGTGTGGTATAAATAACTTTGTTCAATATTTTTTTATGTGCAAATACGCCTTTACAGACAAATGCTTTTTTAGAAATGTCATGACCTAGCCATTAATAATTACTGACATGTTATAATTAACCCATAAACTGTAAAGGAAAACTGGGCAATGTCTCATTCAGTCTTGAACCATTATTATAATCAAAGAGAGTTGAGTCACGTGACTCCATCATCTGCGTCCACCATGTTGTCGGTCTCTCAGGCGGTTTCGTTCAATATTTATTTTGTTTAACAGGGGAGCGCAAAAGCCTTAGGGGTCATACAGAACCTTGGAGAATGGGAGGCAAACTTGATTTAAGAAAAGAAAGGACAGCTCCAATTCCTTGGATCAAGATCCCTTACCGGATTCCAGGCACCTCCCTTTGTTTATGGACAGGTGTAAATATTGACTTTAAAGTTAACCAGGGGTGGAAACTCTTGTTGCAGAAGTGTACAAATTAATTGGAACTGGAGGAAATTTTGTGATTATCTCAGAATACGTCTCAGTCTCCGGCTTAATTAATATAGTTTGGGTTCTTTTCATAAGAGTTTGCTTCTGACTTCTGGCAATCATCCAGCTGTGATGTTACCCTGCAACTCTCGTCAGTGCTACAACAGCTGTTGTTTTGTAAAGCTATTCCTGCAAGCATGATTCGTGAGTGAATGTGTTTTTTGCCAAATATTCCCCTTCATGATTACTGCTGAAATTCGTGATGGATGTTACACTTAGAAAGCATACAAGTATTGTAACTCTTAGAAAACGTGCTGATTTGACTATCAGACAGATCACCTAAAATTTGAGCCTAGCAAAGTCAACTGTTGGTCGGATTCTGAAGAGAGCTGACGATACTGTTGATTGTGGAGCGCTGCGTCAAGGAAAATGTGGAAGAAAACGCCAGACATCACCTCACGATGACGGTTATCATAAAAAATAGTGTGAAGGATCCCAAGATAACCAGCAAAGATCTACAGAGAGATTTGGCTTCAGCTGACGTATATGTTGATTGTTCAACTGTTCGACGAAGGCTCATTGAAGCTGGAAGAACTGCCAGAAAGTCGGTAAAGAAACAATTATTGACTGCTGCTATGAAGAAAAACGGCTGCGGTGGGCACTCGGTCATAAGGGATGGACGACAGATGAATGGAGAAAAGATATATTTTCAGATGAGGCGCATTTTGAAGTACGAGGTACAGATCGGCGGCAGTGATTAGCAAAGACGAACCTCTTCGGAATGGACATATTCAACAGGCGCCAAAACAGCCACCTAAGATGTTTTGGGGTAGTTTTACTGCTACAGGCCCTAGACGGCTTGTTATTGTTGAGGGAACGATGATCAGGGAACTTATTTGCTTCCCATTGTGGATAGAGATTTTCTTGATTGAGAAGGCATTTTCCAGCAGGATCTTGCTCCATGCCACACTTCCAGAAAAATTATGACATTCTTCGAAGAGAGTGGGTTAAGTGTTCTAAACAGGCCTGGAAATTCTCCTGGCATCAACTCAACTGAGAGTCTGTTGGTAATAACCAAACGAAGGACCCGCGGAACACAGCTGTTCAGCTGTGGAGAAGCTAATTGTTGCTATTATTAGGACCTACCACGACGAAGAACTTGCCAAAATGTGTTCAACATTGGTCGATTTTTTGCCGAAGCTTGTAGTAATGCTTATAAAACCGAAGGGTAGTCATAACTCTTATTAAATCAATTATCTGTTATATCATTACCGTGAATTTTTCAAGCAAACATTAATTTTCCAAATAAGCGTTTTATTTCATCGCTGTCCCAATTCATATGTACATACTGTATGTGTGTCACAATTATATTAACGGGTAACACTAAACCCGAAAAGGTCATTCAACGTTGCACTGCAGAGGTGAAAGTGATGGTAAAGAGGTAGGTGTTGAGTCCATTCTGATAATGAGTCTCTAACTGATATGGACCAGGACAAAGAAACACATAATCCAATTTTTATTTCCAATTTGTAAAATAATTCTAAAGTGTTACCGACGCTGTATTGTTTGTTATTTTTATTCAGTGAACGTTACTTCATGTCAAGATATCTTATTAATAAAAATAAGATACCAGATATACTAAGCAAATTTCCTAAATTTGCTTGTAACAGATAAGTGAACTATAGATATGTAGATATAAATCCATATGTATTCCTGTTAACCCTTTGGGGCCTAGTTCCTAGGCCTTTTGTGTATCCATATGCTCTCGCGCTACCGTCCACAGGATGGATATGGGGTGCACAATAAACTAGCCACTTCGGTGGTAAAATCTAATCTAATCTTGATACATGCAATTTGTTCAGAGATTTCTTCTACACTGCTTTCATGCCTCCATTTCCTTTGTATAAAGCTCAGGAACTGATGCTACTTTCCATGTCGTAATACATGTAAACTCTATAAACACTTTTTTTTTTTTTTGCTTGTGTCGTCTGAGAGGCTAGTTTACTGCGGAACTCATGATCAGCCTGTGAACGATACGGCACTCGAGTCACATATTTCAAATTATCTCATCATGTAGCTAATCATCTTCTATAGTTAGTCGAATAGCTTTATTAAGCACCTCGTACCCATACTGTGAGAGGTAGTCAAGAAAGCTTACAGAGACACATAATGAGTCCAGGGACTGGGCCTCAATATTTTAATATTTCAGTACGTTACAGAAATAATTAACTTAATGCAATATGTCAATACGTGTTCTCCTGGACAGCATCGAGGTGGTGGCCGCAGGGCACAGTGTTGCAGGTGATGGCGGGGGTGTGGTTGCTGGCAGCATTGGTCATCACTACAGTGTATCGGTCCAACTTGATGGCCATGCTCATCATCCCCAAGCTGCACCTGCCCTTCAACACCCTCCAGGAGCTGCTCAACACCAACATTCCCTGCTACGTCGCTCAAGGCACTGTGCTTCTCACTGATATTCTTGTAAGCTAGTCGATGAGTTAAACTGTGAGTTGTTATGACTGCTATTGGTTTCCAGTTATATCAGACTGTCCAGTCCTCTTAATCTTTAGTGTTTAAATATTGCGATCACTCGTCACTTCCAAAAACTGCTTGTCAAAGACTAAAAACTAAATTTAAACTTTATATATACATTCACACTGAGAGTAAGTGATCTAAGTCTGTGCTGCTTCACATAAAGAACATAACGAACGCTGCCTTCCACCTTCCCTGGAACCTTCAACTCCACAATCATTGAAATTTTCCAGCTTCAAGTTTCCCGACACCGCACCATACCTGAAGCAGGTTTTGGGGGTCAGCGCCCCCGCTGCCCGGTCCGTGACTAGACCTCAAGATTCTAATTTCCTCGAATTTTCCAAAGTGGAGTAATTGAAAATTGTCTTCATTGAACTTCATATTGTTTTCTGCGGCCCATTTAAAGATTTTGTTGATGTCTCCTTGGAGATTTGCAGCGTCTTCGATGGAGGACACTCATGCAAATCCGGGTGTTATTCGTAAAGGAGGACACGGTGCTGTGGCTTACATCTCTGTAGATCTATGTCGTATATGAGAATGAGGAACAGGATGGGAACGAGTACTGTACCATCAGAAGAAATTATGAAAATCTTCTCCAATACAGGAGGCATCACCATCCTCTCAAATCCCCTATCCACAGCCGCCCAATCAGTCTGACGCACCTGCTCCCCTGAAAAATTTCACGAATAAACAGCCTTCTTTGTACCCTGCTGAGGTCAAAATTGTGAGGCTAGAGAACATAACCAGATATTCACTACAAGGTTTATCTCAAGGATAGGACGAAAAGGTGCATTTCCTTCTTAAACGTAAAACTGCACTTAAGACTGCTGAGGCATTCAACAAAAATACAATGCGAGCTCATTTTCAGGCATATGAAGGGCAGCTCTGGATTAGGAATCTCCAGACTCTTCAATGCCGGTGAGGGGATCCTCAAAGAAGGAACTCGACCCATCCTTTCCTTTCTTGGATCGAACCTCATTGTCTTTCAGACGATGTATGAATCCTAGGGGTTTAGTGCTTTCTTACTGATTATAATGCTAATCAAAACCCAGATCCAGTGAAATTTGGATGGGAGAAGGACTAGCATGCTAAGACTCTTCGTGGTGTTGTGTTCCTTTACTGCAGGATGTTTGAGCTGCACCACATGAGGTCCTGAAATGGATCCACTGCTGCTGCAACGGTGATCAGCTCTAATTACGTCTCAGATGTGGATGTGCGGTTGCTTATCTTTCTTGCTCTGAGTTTTGTTAATGTAGAGTACTGACAGTTATTGAAACCATGTGATAAAGACAATTTGGAAGGTAATGCCGAAGGGAAAGCTCATGACAGTGATGAAGAAAATGATGACATTATAGAGGATTTGGTTTATTATTATCTTTCTTAATTATTAGTTTAGTGTTAGGGAAAAAGTTTAATGTTCAGATGTTAAGAGAAAGCCTATAGCTTGAAGACTGACGCTCGTTTTGTTCTCAAGATATTATTGTGGCAGTAGAAAAGATAGTCTTAGCTGCCAAGCAGATGTATTATCTGAACTATTATAGACAGAAGTTATTGGGTACGGATAATCAATAGTGTTTTGGTAGTAATGGACTGTGTTACACTTACTGCTCTGTTTACAAATGAATAATAGTTATTGGTCACATTGCAATAATCATTTGAGTGACATCCATGAGTACTTGGTAAAATGTTTGGTTAATGTTCTCTGAATCTGATCCAAAATAAATGTATGCTAAAGATTTATACAACTAGAAATGTTTTCTACTTAGCTTTCCTTCCACTGACTAGTGTACAGGACGCTGGGAAGGTGAGTGTCTGAATAACTGTAACTACTACGTTATAGTGAAGATGGCAACCATCTTGTATAACCGATAAATATGGAGTCATTCCACTAGCCTTCCTATCAGCATTGAAGTACAAAAGGTGACTTTTTTCATCCAAAAACACAAATTTGGTTAAAATACTTAATATTCATGTTGCTCTATATGTCTTTTAGTAATCATGATCAGCGACCATCTTAGGAATCATCTTATATTTCTCACATTCCTCAAGACCAACAGAGTTGTACCCGCTGGAGTATCAGTCTAGAACACTTCATGGGTTTAATATTAACTAAGAACAGTTATTCATTATAAAATTTCCATCAATTATTCACTATAAAATTTCCATCATTCACTATAAAATTTCCATAAATTATTCAGTATAAAATTTGCATCAATTGCATCACTCCAAGACATTATATTGTTGTAAACAGTAAGTACAACATTGTTGCAGGCAGCAGAGCCTGGGAGTCAGCTGCACCGCCTAAGAAAGCAGATGATTACTCACTCGAATGTAAAGAAGACAGAGTTAGATGTGCTTCAAGGAAAATACGCTTCCTTCTCCAGTCGTTTGGCTGTTCTGAGTTCCATCCACAATATCTTCTCTACTGTGAGTATACACTAATTCTGTATAATTTTATTTTATTAAATAGATTTCATCTATATATGTAGAATTGTATTATTTAAATCTGTCAGAAAGAGAGCGGCTAGTTTCTCCACAGTATTGGAGAGTACAAGAGAGCAGGAAATAGAGTAGACTGGCAGCATCAATAGCAGGAGAGGTATGAACTAGATTACTGCGAAGTGTCCATCGCTCTGCTACAGGCTTTTCCTTTTATTCTTTATGGCAAGCCTCTGCACAGAGGCATGTACATTCACTGCTTTTCTTACCATACTCCCTCTGTCAAGATAAGTGTTCTTATTTCTCTCTTTTTCCGTGCCCTCCGGAATTCGTTCTCGTCTTGGCTATCCTTTTGATTTCATAAACTCTGTCTTCTCACATGCTAAACGGACTTTCTTCTCTCCTAAACTCTCTAATCTTATGAAATCTTCTGTTCTTTGCCTTCCCTATGACCTATGACCTGTGTGTTACCTAATTTTTATGTAAATCAATGATGTTTTCAGGTTTTATATGTGAGAAGTAAACCGCTGAAATTCATAATGTTTATACTTTATATCACAGACAAAGTCGTGTCCTCTCTACATTGCCTCGGAAACCTTCTTCGGCAGCAGCTCTCTCTGCTTCGTCTTCCCCAAGGGTTCCCATCTTAGCCGTAAACTTAATCCAGTGTAGGTATACTTGTACATACATACATTCTTTGTACCATTTCGGGCTGGTAAAAAATCTAATGGTTATAATCATAACTATGATTTTTAAAGAAGTGGACAGGTAAGCCAGCAGAAGTCCTCGGTCAGATGACCAAGAGCTCCAACTGTAGGTCATCATATGAGTAAGACCCGAGTCAGGAAAAACTTGTCCTGTGTCCTGACAAACATTATACTTACCTACCGGTCTGGTAGTCATCGTGTAGGAGGGGATTCTGGGGGGTCAACGCCCCCGTGGCTCGGTCCGTGAACAGGTCTCGTGGTGGATCAGGGCCTGATCAACCAGGCTGTTACTGCTGGTCGCACGTAAACCGACATACGAGCCACAGCCCGGCTGGTCAGGTGCTGACGTCAGGTGCCTGTCCAGAGCCTTCTTGAAGACCGCCAGGGGGGTCTACTAATAATCCCCCCTTATGGATTCTGGGAGGCAGTTGAACAGTCTTTGGCCTCTGACACTTACTGTGTTGTATCTTAGCCTACTCGTGGCGCCCCTGCTTTTCATTGGGAGGATGTTACATCCGCTAAGTATAGTGAATGTCTCGAAAATACAAGACGGCGAACTGAACCTCCACCAGTTCCTGCACATATTGACGCACAAGGGTTCTGTACTTTATATAAAATTTATGGGAAATGTATGTACCCACTGCGTTATTCCGACTCAGGTGTTGGAGGTAGTCGAGAAGCAATACTGTGTATCACAGCAGAGCAGGTGATCTCTCTTGTTGTGCACAGCATAGCAGGTGATCTCTCTTGTTGTGCACAGCAGAGCAGGTGATCTCTCTTGTTGTGCACAGCAGAGCAGGTGATCTCTCTTGTTGTGCACAGCAGAGCAGGTGATCTCTCTTGTTGTGCACAGCAGAGCAGGTGATCTCTCTTGTTGTGCACAGCAGAGCAAATGATCTCTGGTGTTGTGCTTCATATGATAAGCAAGTTACCGATATTTTGCAACCACTTGATTGCTCTGTCAGCTACATTGCAACACAAACAATAAATATAAATCAGGAACGTACACGGTAAGCTGTCCAATATACAAGTACAGTTAGAAATAGAAATACAAATAGCTAAAGCTTCATTTAAGGAGGTTATTAATAGAGTATTCAAGAGGTTGCTAGTAGAATTACAGTAAATCAACCATTCAAATCATTATGAAGCTATGTGTAGTCTGCAGTCAATCAAACAAACGAGCTTCCACATGGATAAATTGTCATTTTTGTGGAAATTGGTGTCACGCCCCTTGTGCGGATATCCAAGAACTAGCTACAAGCAGTATTAAAAACAGGGAAGTGTTTTTGGGTATGCCCAAGTGAGAAAAATCCGTGGACTAAAATAACAGGGGTATTAAAAGAGGATAACATCAAAGCTGCTTTCATAGAAAACCTGGAAGCTTTCTACAACAGATGGGAACATAAAAAGTCTGGGCTGAATGGTACTGCCCTTGATACTGGCCATGTAATCAGAAACTGTAAGGCTGGAGGTGATGTTCTGGTAGTAAGTAAATGTGGGGCTGATAGTGCTGTCCTGGGAGACAGTAATGGTGAAGCTGGAGGTGCTGTCCTGGGAGACAGTAATGGTGAAGCTGGAGGTGCTGTCCTGGGAGACAGTAATGGTGAAGCTGGAGGTGCTGTCCTGGGAGACAGTAATGGTGAAGCTGGAGGTGCTGTCCTGGGAGACAGTAATGGTGAAGCTGGAGGTGCTGTCCTGGGAGACAGTAATGGTGAAGCTGGAGATTTTGTCCAGGTAGTCGGGAATTATACGCAGGAAGGAATACATATAAATGACCTCATAGGGGACAGGAGCCGTAATGGGGAAACAAGTGTAGTCAAAGATAAGATAAAACCAATATTGCAAACTAGAAATACCACAGGAAATAGCAAACAAGAGGACTCCACTAGCAATAGTGAGGATATATTACCAAAAACAACTGGTGGGAGCTCTATTGTTGGTGCTAGGGAGGATAGGAATAAGACAGGGAAACATGCGCCAACAGGGAATACAGTCACAGAAACCCAAGGCAAACGGAAACCAAGCCTGTGCACATACTATGCACTTGGTATCTGCAGACATGGGAAATCTGGAAAAACAGACGGGACGTGCAACTATGACCACCCTAGAAAATGCCGTGCCCATATGACAACAGGAAAATGCAAACTCCCTTACTGTAAACTTTTTCACCCTGAAATGTGTACCTCTTCAGTACAGGAAAGACTGTACTATAACTTAAATTGCCAGGCACACCACCTAAAGGGGACAAAAAGATACAAAACATCCAGGCCATGGGAAAACCTGGGTAGCCACAGCCACTCAAGAGGGAGAGGTTTTTTAGTGCCAGGAAGGAAAAAAAAACTGGCAGGAAATGGCAGAAATCGTACACCAAATCCAGTCATTCCTGGAGTGGAATCACAGTCGATGGCCTCCACTCCAAACCAACAGATACAGATACTAATGCCGGAAAAAAATCCCCCCTCAGTACCAACAATACCACCATTCCGATGACATTCTTCTTTGCAAATATACAGGGTCTAAAGCCAGCAACAAACAACAAAATACCTTTCATCCGTGGACTGCTTGCAGAGGCAAAGGCAATGTTCACGGCTTTCACTGAGACCCACATAAATGATCACTTGGACAACGAAATATGGATCCCAGGTTACAACCTATACAGATATGACAGAGTGAACAGGCAAAAGGGTGGGGTTGGCCTGTACATTGCAGAGTCACTTGTTTGCACAGAACTGCTTAATGCCTCAAATGATGTAGTGGAAGTTTTAGCAGTAAAGGTCGAGAACCAAAACCTAGTCATTGTGGTAGTCTACAAGCCTCCGGATGCAACATGCCAGCAATTCCAGGAACAGCTGTTAAAAATTGACCACTGTCTGGAAAATCTTCCAGCTCCTGCACCCAACATCTTGCTCCTGGGGGATTTCAACTTAAGGCACCTAAAATGGAGGAATATACAAAAATATTGTTGCAGTAATAACACCAGGAGGCAGCTTGATGAAAACCCACACTCACCGAGCTCTTAAATCTCTGCACAAAATTCAATTTAAACCAGCAAATAATAGAGCCTACTAGACTGGAGAATACACTAGACCTCATCTTCACTAACAATGATGATCTGATAAGAAATGTCACCATATCAAAAGTAATATACTCAGATCACAACATAATTGAGGTTCAGACATGTATGCGCGGAGCCCCAGACCGACATAATGAGATTAGTCACGAGGGAGCATTCACCAAATTCAACTTCAATAACAAAAACATTAAGTGGGACCAAGTAAACCAAGTCCTAACCGATATAAGCTGGGAAAATATACTAAGCAACACAGACCCCAACTTATGCCTAGAACAGATTAACTCGGTGGCACTCGATGTATGCACAAGGCTTATTCCTCTAAGAAAAAGGAGGAGTAGATGTAAAATAGAAAGAGACAGGCGCTCCCTTTACAGGCGACGGAAAAGAATAACAGAGCGGCTAAAAGAGGTCAGTATATCTGAAATGCGTAGGGAGACACTGGTCAGAGAAATAGCAAGCATCGAACTTAAGCTAAAGGAATCTTATAGGAGTCAGGAATCGCGGGAAGAACTAAAAGCCATAAATGAAATCGAAAGAAACCCAAGTATTTCTTCTCCTATGCCAAATCAAAGTCGAGAACAACGTCCAGTATTGGGCCCCTACTTAAACAAGATGGGTCCTACACAGATGACAGCAAGGAAATGAGTGAGCTACTCAAGTCCCAATATGACTCAGTTTTTAGCAAGCCGCTAACCAGACTGAGAGTCGAAGATCAAAATGATTTTTTTATGAGAGAGCCACAGAATTTGGTTACACAAGCCTATCTGATGTTATCCTGACGCCAAATGACTTCGAACAGGCGATAAATGACATGCCCATGCACTCTGCCCCAGGGCCAGACTCATGGACCTCCGTGTTCATCAAGAACTGCAAGAAGCCCCTATCACGAGCCTTTTCCATCCTATGGAGAGGGAGCATGGACACGGGGGTCGTCCCACAGTTACTAAAAACAACAGACATAACCCCACTCCACAAAGGGGGCAATAAAGCAACAGCAAAGAACTACAGACCGATAGCACTAACATCCCATATAAAAATCTTTGAAAGGTCTATTAGAAGAGGAGAATCACCACCCATCTAAGAAAACCATCAGTTACACAACCAGGTGCAAACATGGTGTTTAGAAAGGTCGCTCCTGTCTGTCTCAACTATTGGACACTACGACAAAGGTCTAGATGCACTAGAGACAAATGATGCAAGACTGATATATATACAGTACTTTGCAAAGGCCTCGACAAGTGTGACCATGAGCCGTAATAGCGCACAAAATGCGTGCGTAAAGGAATAACAGGAAAAGTCGGTCGATGGATCTATTAATTTCTCCACTAACAGAACACAAGAGAGTAGTCGTACAAACAGAGTAAAGTCCGAGGCTAGCTACGGAGTAAAAGCTCTGTTCCACAAGGACAGTACTCGCCCTCTTGTTCCTACCTATATCCGACGTCAGGACAAGGATGTCAGCCACAGCACCGTGTCTTCCTTTGCAGATGGAACACCCGATCTGCAGACAGTGTCTTCCATTGCAGACACTGCAAGGCTCCAGGCGGACTCAACAAAAATCTTTCAGGGGTGCAGAAAACAGTATGAAGTCAACGATGAAAAATTTCAATTACTCAGATATGGTAAACCGAGGAAATTAACTCTTCATCATGAGGATACAAAACAAATTCGGCACCAATAGGCGAAACACCAACGTGAAAGGACCTGGGAGTGATCTGTCAGGAGGATTAACCTTCAAGGACATATTATACTGTATCATCCGCATCTGTAGCAAAATGACAGGACTGGATAATGAGAACCTTCAAAACTAGGGAGGCCAAGCCCATGATGACACTTTCAGGTCACATTGTTCTATCTTAGGCTGGAAATATTGCTGACATAACAGCACTTTA